TTTCTCAGGACGGGTTAAATCAAGTCCGTTTACACCCACTAAAAAAGCATTTCCCTATTCTCTACCAAGTGCAAAAGACAGAGATAGAATATAGATCGACGTTCAGTGTAACTCGGTCTCTAGACGATTATAGATTCTATCGATGTGCGTAGCGAGCGGCACAAAGATAAATAATATTGAACCGTATAAAAATCATTTTATATTTTATACGCATTATGGTAATAGTGTTTTTATATTATGTCACTCTTTATAATTTCGACCGCGGAGTATAGTTAAGTCACATGTAAACAAACATGAATTCTAAAGGTTAGACATCTTGTGACGTAGTATGAGATAAGTAACGCCCATAATTTCTGTCTATTACTCGATCTTCTTTTTTTACGGACCGTGTAGCGTAATGACAGACCTTTGTCATGAATATAGTTACAGAAGTCCTATACAATATAATAATATTACATTACACCATCTAGTGTAAATCCTTCAAAATTAATTCAGTCCTAGTAATTAATTATTAATTATTAGTTTCTAGCTAATTAACAGAGAAACAAGTAGGATATGAAAAATACTGAGTACCTATGCAAAACACACTCCTGGGGCTTGATTTTTGAAAACAGGAGAACTGATTCTCCAGAGAAAAAATTCACCTGACAAATTTCTCTTAAAAACTTAAACACTAATTTTTGAACGTTGAAGGAATCCAATTCTCTAGAGAATTTAATTTATGCCGTATGTCGAGGATATATTTGCAACTGACCAATCAGCGGGCAGAGTTTTCTTCAATATTTCAGTGCCATTATTGGCGACCCTGATGTTTAGTCACTTGATTTGATTTTGAAGTTTGTTTTGTAAATGTCATTATATTCGTCAGGGAGACTAGACATCTCCATGATATTCGTAGTAATTTAATATAACTTCAATTTGAATAGAAGTATATTTGAAAACACAAAAAATTTAATATTATTATAATTATGATGAAGCGTTCGTTCACGTCGAAAGCGCAAAAAAGAAATTAATATGCTTAGAAACAACGAAGAACTTTTTAAAATGAAAGTTTTCTTCTACTTTCACTCACAAAAAGGCCCAAAAACAGTGGTCAGATATTGCTGAAACTTTAAATGGTTTAATTAATGTTGTCGCGGATGGTTTACAATTTCTGCAGCTTGCAAATTATTCATTATATTTAGAATTAATAATAAATTATTTGGATCCATTACAAATTTCAAATTTCAAATGATTACGCACCTTCGAACAGCGAATGAATGAAGTGACTTTTCGCGCATGAGCATGAGATGACATTTGGATTCAAACTATTCGGAGAAAACGCCAATTCCCCCGACAAAACCCTGTGGAATTATTTCTCTTGATATCTAGAGAAAATATTCCACAAGAAAATTTCAAAAATCACATTATCTGTGTGTCAAGAGAAAATGACGTAATTTTCTCTAATGAACTAATTCTCCTGTTTTCAAAAATCAAGCCCCTGTATGTAAATTCTATGGCAACTTCCTTCGACTGTGATACTAAAAACCAAAACTACTACAATACATTTCAAATTTGAATAAAATAATTTAACCATTTGTTAACAATTTCCAAAAAACGTATTTTCATATATTTAATTATACATATTTTTTTATTTTATAACATTGAAATAATAATCTCATCACTTCATCATTTGATAAAACAAAAAGACAGTTAAATTAAAAGTATTTCATATTCACTCTTTAAAAACTATTACATATTTAAACTTTGTTCTGAGTAACATTTTGATTCACCAGTGTTTTCAGTTATAAAACTATGGATATTTATTGAAAAATAGTTAACGGTGGTATCTTGTTATACCTGTATATTTCTAAAAACATTTTCTCATAAAATCTTGTTGCTAGGCTGAGACCGCTGCAAATAGAATCTGCAAGGTCCTCAAGGTGAACCAAGAAAATGAACGCCTCATGGAAGAATATGAACGTCTTGCAAGCGACGTAAGTATAGTCACTTATATCAGTAAATATTTAAATACCATTTATGAAAAACTTAGCTACTGGAATGGATCCGTCGCACCATGCCATGGTTAGCGTCGCGACAGACAGACAACTCTCTTGCAGGTGTTCAAAAGAAACTGGAGGAATACCGAACTTATCGTCGCAAGCATAAACCACCACGTGTTGAACAGAAAGCGAAATTGGAGACCAACTTCAACACGCTGCAGACCAAATTGCGGTTGTCTAACAGGCCGGCCTATATGCCCACGGAAGGTAAAATGGTTTCTGTAAGTATCTTATTATTATTATTTTATTGATCAGTAAAAATAAATGCGTATCTGGCCATACATCAGTAGATCTTTTTAATGAATTCCATTTGATCGATAAACACTGACCACTCTAGTCGGACCAATTCCGTCGAAGATTGTCCTAATTTAAGACCGCTAATACAAAATAAATTTTAACTGTTATTTGTAGGTATAAATTTATATATGTTTTTAAATAACTTTTAAACTCTTTTGTTAACTGGAATACAGGGTGTCTCATAATTAGCTGCCAACCCTGAACAGGCCGATTCTATGATCAAAACTAAGTAAAAAAGTTCATATGAACATGGGTCCGGAAATGCTTCCTAAGGGCACAGGGACCCATTGACGAGGGAGGAATGGAAATCATTTTTTGCAATATCTCTCAATCGCGTTGTGATAAATGAATGAAATTTGGTATACACAGCTAAATTTTGTTGAGCAATTTGATGGACTAATCCATTTATTTCCACAAGGTCCATTGGGATGGGTACGGGGGGGCCCTTGGTACTTTGCGTGTGTAACTTTTTCATCTTTGACTTTTTAATAAATTGGACAGCAAATTCCGTTTTCCCGAACTGTTTTACGTTAAAAAGGTACTCTTGTTTCAAATCGTTATCTTTAACGGTTTCTGAGAAAATCGCTCTTGGATTAATCCCACTTTGGTCAATTTCATAGTAATTTAAGAGTCCATCCCGCCCAATGGGGATTTGTTTTTTTCATACAATAAGCACTAAATACAGTACAATTCAATAACAAGAACATTGTGAAAGATACACAGAACATGCTAGAATATTGATTACATTATGAGAGAAATTTTACAAGACATGTGTTATTATTAATTGACAAGACAATATTTAGTCGCAACAGATTAAATAACTTAGAATTACACTCTTGTAGTTAGTAGAAAATCCACATGCAATTCAGAAAACTAAATTTGAGTAATAATTTGCAGATTAGGGATTGTTATTTAGACAAGGCGAAAACCTCGCATTCGTGGGAGAAATTTTCCGGCTCGATTTTTTTGCATATTCAGTTTCGTGAGATGTTCCTTAACATGAATCAAGATGATGCCGGCCGGAAATCTGGTGCCCATTTGTTTAAACAAACTTTTTTAAAACAAATTGTGAAAATAGGTTTTTTCACTCCGGAAAAAATTTTTATAGGTTTTTTGGCACATTATAAACAAAAAGTTTCTATGTACTATGCCTCTAAAATTGATAGTTTTAAAGTTATAAACAATTTAATTTGCTGAAAATGCGAAAATTACAATTTTCAACGGCCCATTTCCGGGTTAAAAATTGTTACTTTTGATGTTGTCAGGTACCTAAATTAAAGTTTAAACATCCCCCTACAAGATGATGAAGAGTTTTTGGGACTCGCATTATTCTAAAACCTTGTTTTTTTAATTGTTAATAAAGTTATTTTTCCTCAATAATATCAATATTTGGATTTCACAGCTTTTGGTTATCAAAATGAAACAGGTGAATTACCCAAAGACTTAGTTAAACAATGTAAATGTACAAGAAACTGTAAGACTAAAGCTTGTTCTTGTAGGAAAAGACTATGTGGTTGTTATGTGGTTGTAACATAGAACAGTGTGAGAATTCATATGATTGAATAAATGTGTGATGATAATAATAAGATGCAGTATTAAATAAATGTTCTTTAATAAAATTCAAATGTATTTGATACTATTGCCCTTTTATTTATTTTTTTTTTCACTCTATTCGTACAGTTTTGAATTAATTAAATAAAATTATTATGAGTTATGAAATTTAAATAATCAATTTTTTTATTATTTTAGGAGCAGTAATAGTACTTAGAATGCTAAATTCAAATAAGAACATAAGCTGAATCCGCTAGACGAAATAGTGAATCCGCGTATGAGAGAGGCGCGCGCACGGCTCATAGCGCTTTATTAACAATTAAAAAACAAAGCTTTAGAATAATGCGAGTCACAAAAACTCTTCAGCATCTTGTAGGGGGATGTTTAAACTTTAATTTAGGTACCTGGCAACATTAAAAATAACAATTTTTAACCCGGAAATCGGCCGTTGAAAATCGTCATTTTCGCATTTTTAACAACTTAAATTGTTTATAACTTTCAAGCTATCAATTTTAGAGGCATAGTGCACAGGAACTTTTTTATTTATAACGTGCAAAAAAAACCTAAAAAAAATTCCTATTTTTACAATTTGTTTAAAAAAAGTTTGTTTAAACAAATGAGCACCAGATTTCCGGCCGGCATCATCTCGATTCATGTTAAGGAACATCTCACGAATCTGAATATGCAAAAAAATCGAGTCGGAAAATTTCTCCCACGAATGCGAGGTTTTCGCCTTGTCTAATTGGTAGGTGCTCTTATTGGACATTTTATTTTACTCTTCAAATTAACAACGTTTTTCATTCATCTGTATTTTTGCACTCAATAAGCACTATTTCCATCCTTTATTATTAGATATAATAGTAGAGGATGGACAAAAGTGCAAAGGAATAGAAAACGCTGTAAGTGATGTCAAATGTGTACATGTTTTGCTAAATAATTTGCCATAATTGTTATGTTAACAAGACTTACCACTGAATATGTGTCAAAAGATATATGTAGTTTTTATATGATGGCACATCATCACTTATGACATGAAATTCATGGTTATTTAAATGATATATTCCTTGATAGGTGGATAAGACAAAATAGTCCAAGTAATATTTCTTGTAATATTTACAGACTCTACAATTGTTAGTTAAATTTCAAAATGAGTAAGTTTTCTTACGTTTTAAATTTTTTAATTTTTTGTTATTTTTTTGAATGCATTTCCTAATAAACAAAACTGGAACAATAAAAACAACCTAAAGAAGAAAACTCCACTTTCAATGTCATCCTAAATAAGGCAATGGTAGAAGTTGATCCATTTAAGGCAGTTCATTTCATCCTTTGAATAAACTAAAAAAAAATAGTGGATTGAAATTATAATGTTTACTTTTCTTTACATGTAAAAGGAGGATTGAGGAAAAAAGAAACGAGTAATTGCAAATGTGATGCTTGCGATCAAAAAAAAAATTAGAAGGTTGAGGGGATTATGGTCGTGTGTAAATAAATACATATTTTGATATTACTTGTAAAAAGTGATCTGTTTTCAGCAAAAAACCTCTAGAATAACAAAGAAAAAATAGATTTTTTTCATATTAAACCGTGAGTATATTTTGGAACAATTTTGTGGTAACAGCTCAAAAACTTGAGAGGGTCTTCTGCCCTTCTGCTGGTTGTGCCATTTGTTGGGATACAGTGGTTTGTTAAAAGCATTCCAGATAATACGCACAGGAGACCCAGATACCATGATTCATCATAAAATATTTTTAAACCAGTCTGAAATAGGCTTTTCTAATCCACTTTTGCAGTTACTGAAATCATATTTAATCAGTAGAAGCCAGTATGTTGTTTACAATGGTTTTTAATTTATTGAATTTCTACCTTCTTCCGGTGTACCTGATTTACTCGCAAATTATCTTTTTATTTTTTAGTTATAATTTAAATAACATAAACTTACAAAGACCAGCCACATTCGGGGATCTTAGTGTTATTTTTTATCCGCAACTAACTTTTTCACACATATCGCAAATATTGCAGGTGAGACACTTAAGCCTGTATCAGACAATGCAATTTTGTTGCAGGGATTTGGTTACCGCTATAGAATCCATGAAATTTTTCTTATCAGACTATGCAATTCTGTTCCGACAACTGAATTGCATGAATTGGAACACGCTCTATTCCGTGCAAGAAAATTGCATGGATTCTAGTTACTTATGAAGATTTGTATATTACCAACCTAACTGTTGTTAGCTGTTGGTCATGGCTGTAGTTAGTAACACCGTTAAAGCCACTATTAAAGCTATACAGCAATTTACTTTTAAATTTTCATTCAATGCAATGTTTTGTTTTTTGAATAAAAAATAATTTTTTAAAAGATACATACAAGATATTTTACATGTTAAACAATGCACACTTGGTAACACTACTGCAAACTAAACAACTTGCAGCAATTCTGTCCCATTGTGTGATAATAAGCATGCAATTTTATCCCCACAATTCTGTTGCTGCAACTAAATTGCATTGTCTATACAGGCTTTAGAACATTGGGTTCCATTGTATGAAGTACCAACAATTTGATTAACATAAATTCTTTGAAACTGCTTTACTATGTTTTACTTGTTAGAAAATATCTAAAAGATTTTTGAAATTACTACATTTTATGCCCATGGTGCTTATCCACCCATGTATTAAGTATCCTCAACGTAGTCTTCTTGACTCATTTTCTATTTTCCTGTTTAGTGCTATACATGAATATTTTTCCCACATTTTTCTTTATAACCCAGACAGCAATATATATTCCCAGAATAATCCAAGTATATTCGATTTAACATTTGGTTATTCCTAGAATCTGTTTTAAATATATTTATACTTTTGAGAATATTCATAGAATCATCATATTGGAATATCTCAGATAAACTTAGAATATACATTTTGAAATATTCTGTAGATATTCAGAAATATTCAAGGAATATATATATAGAATATCTAAAATCAGAATATTCTTAAACGAATATACTTGGTACAATATTTAATTAGTCAGATTATTATAAGAATGTACCTACCTAGAATATATTATAGATGTGAAATTGAATATGATAGATATTACATGAATATTTCTGGGTATGTTCTCTGAACATGTTAGTAATGTTCTATGAACCTATGTTTTAAACTTTACTATGAATATAGTCCAATTATATGGGTCTTTAAATCACAATTTTGGTCAACTTGCCTGAATTTTTTATTTGAAAAAAAAAATTACTGTCATTTAATTGTTATTATATACCTTAAACTAACTTATATAAAAAATTCAGGCAAGTTGATCAAAATTGCGATTTAAAGGCCCATTTAATTAGACTAATATTCATGGCTAAAAATATAAAATATGGGACGAGGGTAATAACTACTCTTAATAATAAATTGGTTAACTATTTATTTTATTTTATTTTTTTCACTAATAACATTTCTGGCATCTCTCTCAGTCTATTTCTTCTCGGTTACCAATTCTGAAACAAAAATATATATTTTTGCATTTTCTTTTTGCTGGACTGTATGTCAATATGTGAAAAAAATTTGAACTAATAATATTCATAAGAACCTTTTTAGATAAAACGGTTCCACTTTTTTGATATCATTACTATTTTCAATTGAACGTACCTACTTCTTTAACTTTTAGTAGAAAATGTATTCCTATTTTCTCCACCACAATAAACGTTAGAAGTGTAAAAATGAAAACAAGAAGTGATTGGCCCAAGCTCATTTTATAACTAAAGCCAGTTCTATATACCTGAGAGATTGACTAAGATCTCAGCAAATAACGTATCAATCTCAGTGTTACTAGTAGTATAGTTAGGATTATAATGTATTTCTGGGTTTTATAAGAGATAGTTCTAGGACGGAATTTTGCAAAGATTTAGGCTTAGTGACACTTCCACTAGATGAGTTCTTTTCCAATGAATTTTATGAAGGTAGTTTTGTTGTAACTTCATTAATCTCTATGAAACTGCCAATACATACCACATTCGTTTTCTTGTCATTTCGTTAATTTAAACAAATAATAGTATAGCATTAAAGGAAACTTACTTTGTAGTTTATATGGTCTCCAGGTCTCCTTTCTTCTTTCTGCCATTTTGTCACAGTTTCTAATTCTAATCAATCTTAAGCATACCAAACACCACAAAGCATTAAACCTGCTTTGTGCAAAATACAAAATACTTTAATAATAATAATTAATTGTTTATGCAGCACTTATTATTGTAAATTGATTAAATTGTACTCGGTGCAAATTATAATATATTGTATTGATGGACAAGAACATGTTAACCTAACATTGCTAACCATTTTCTAACCAACTGCAATGAATTACCAACTGGCAACTACAAATACAAAACATACGACAGGTACTACCAACATTAACAACATAATATTTTGATTAATTTTCAACTTTTTGCATAAAATTGGAATAAGCGCAAATTCGATTTAAATAGGGCCTCCAAATTGTTAAATTAGAATAGGTATTCCGTTTTATTGCCTATTAATTAAAAATTACAGTTTTTTTAAACTACGTATATCCTATTGAGAATGTATTAGGAATATTAGTTGAAGAATATTCCTGAGATATTATTATTAGCATATCTATGGAGAATATCATATGCATATTTAAAAAGGGATCTTCTACGAATATTTTATAAGCATATTAATATTCTATGAATATTCTAGGTTTATTCAGAATATATATAATCTTTTTAGAAGGTCTAGAGAATATTCTCAGAATATATGGTGCTGTCTGGGAAAATTATTCACAATAGATTGTTCATCTATAATCCCATCAGTTACAAGAGAAAATTTGCTACAATCCTGATATCACGAACATTTCATCTGGGAAAAGCGCGATCAATCTTGTTACAAAATCTTCCTTTACATTTTATGTGTAGAATTCATATTAAGTACCTATTGCAGTGACATTAACATTTTTAATTACAACTCAAATCATATTTTAAACATTAATTTTACTACTTTCTGTTACATTGACTCTTTTTTGTTTCATTATGGTTTTTTTTCTAATATAATTTCCCATCCACACCCCTCTGTCCTAGCTGTAATTGGGTGTAACCATAGAACGGTGTATTTTCAAATAAATAAATAAGATCTAATGATTTTGTAGGAAATTTTATTATTCAACACATTTATCATTATGTTGTGTTCATACGTTTCTCACAATAATTTTAGATTGTGCCCAACCACCAATATTTTTTTAAAGTAATGAACACCCTTACTCGCTATTGCCTTTTTGAGCTCATGAACTTCATGCACAATGAAAGGAACATAAGCCTTATTATAGATTTAAGTTAGTCATTTCTAATATTTGAAATTTGCCAGCTTATCAACTCCTAGCATTTAAATTTATGATTCCCTTACTAGGCAATCAGTACACGATGGATCGGAATCTCCAAATAAAATTCACCGGGCTTTGTAATTGGTCCCACTTGATCATCAACTACAGTTTGTTCCGCTGGTGTATGGCCAGTAATTGAGTGTTTTATATTCTTAAAAGATGTTCATATAAATGCATAAACCATCGGTAATGTCGAAATTTGATATAAAGTTATAGGTCTATTGTGTGATAAAGTATCATTCTTTAGGACATTGCAAATGCATGGAAGGGCCTAGAGCATGCTGAGAAATCATTTGAGGAATGGCTCCTGTCCGAGATGATGCGTCTCGAACGCTTGGAGCATTTGGCCCAGAAATTCAAACATAAAGCTGATGCCCATGAGGAATGGACACGTGGTAAGGAAGAAATGCTCCAAAGTCAGGACTTTAGGCAGTGTCGTCTCAACGAACTCAAGGCCCTTAAAAAGAAACATGAGGCCTTTGAATCAGATCTTGCCGCTCATCAGGACCGTGTTGAACAGATTGCTGCTATTGCTCAGGAACTTAAGTAAATATTGTTTAGTGTTGTTTATTGTTATTGATTACTTATATATGATATCCCAATATTAGGTGTACATTTAATTGCAATGGATTCAACTAACTTATTTTTATCGAAAGTTGCTTCAGTTATTTGTTAGAGTTAAGTTTGCTAATTTTTTCAAATAACTCTAAATACTGTATTTTATTCAAATGAAATTTAATATGCTAATCACTTCTTGACATATTAATTCGTTTTTAGATTTTTTAAGTAAAAAGCTACTCAAGTATGTACTCAATTATTGAAATGACCGATAATTATTGCTTGTTTTTTTTATAAATTTTTTGTTATAAATTTTGTTCGGTTGCTCGGAAGGCTTCCCACTACGTAGTTCCGTTGACTGCACATAAATACCTCCACTCACTTCACCACAATCAATCTTAAAACTTAAGAGCTGCATTGTGTAGTTCAGTGGTATAGGATAGAATGAACATTAGCTACCATTTGTCATATATAATTTTTTTATAACAGAAATAAGAATGGTGGATGAATGAATTATTAAAAATTTATTACATGGAAAGATTGTTCCTTCAAAGGAACAGAATAAATTATTTTATCGCCAACCATCAATAGAGCCTTGCATTGCCTAAGTGATTTCCAAAAGCAAAGCATTTTACCTAATGCAAATATTTATCAACATAGCCATTACTGTATGACATTAATCAGAAATCGTTTGTTGCTGTCACAACCCCAACAGTAAAAGTTTCGTCACGAATTATTATTTATAGAAAATGATGGAAGACATTCAGTGCACGCCGGCTGAAATTCGGGAAAAGTCATTTGAAACGTGTTTCAAAATTGTACCACAAAAATCAGTCGAATGGCACAAGAAACATGGAAACACGGAATTAAAAAAGAATGAAAATGTATTACTGGCATATTTTTCCGAGTTATCGAAAGAGTATTCTCCGTCAATATGGTCGTATTATTTTTGGTGAAAGCAACGCTTTCAGTAAAAAATGATGCTGACATTAGTAGATATAAAAAACTTATGGCGTTTTTAAAACAAAAGGAAAAAGTCCAAAACTCTTTCACAAGAGGATATACTTCAATTTTTACTAAATGCACCAAATAAAATCTTGTTGATGAAGAATTTATACAAATTTTTCAAAAATAATTTGATATAAGTGTAGTAATTATTTTAGATTTGTGTTGTGTTTGGCACTGCTGGGCTTTACGTAATGAAGAACTTTTGAATGTAAAAGTAAGTGACATAGAGCATGAAAAAACAAATCTGGTTGTTCATGTAACTAAAACAAAGACCAACAGGCCCCGAATATTTGTGATCACTTCAGAGTTTGAGGGAAAAGTAAAATCTGTAGAATTATTTAACAAATATTTAACCCTGCGTAATAAACAGACGCCCCACGACCGATTTTTCCTAACTTATAGAAATGGTAAATGCACAGTCCAGACAGTTGGAATCCATACTTCTGGAAGTGTACCAAGCAAAATTGTCACCTATCTGCATTTGCCAGAACCATCAGTTTATATGGGACATTGTTTCATAACTATGGAAAACATTTACTTGTAAATTCATCTAAAAAAAATACCGACATTTTATTTGCTTAGTGGTGCATCTATTCTTTCCATATCTATAGCAATAATTACCTATTTATTTCTGTTACTATATTAAAAAGTGACATCTTGACACATGTACCAGCATACCAATTTTCATTTAAATCGGATAAGGCATTTTAGAGTTGGTTATTTCAGAAAAATCTTTTTTTTTGCCAATATTAATAATTCGAATAGGGGTTATGTCAATTTTTAAATAGTTAGATTAACCCCAAGAATCTGTGGCAGTTCTGAGTACCTGCATGGAATATTTGGACAACCTGTATTGTGATATACAGCGTGATTCATTAACAATGGGAAAATCGAAAGCTGAAGATACTACACATGAATTGGTGACCATTGGCGCAAACATGCCTTATCCGAAAGTTGATAGTTTCGGAAATACAGGGTGATGAAAGTTAAAATTTTAAATAGTTTTTTTGTGATTATTCTGAAAATATGTAGGTTAGGAACTGGAAAATCTGTGTAACTATATTTTTGAAGCGACAAATAAGATGCGTGCTGCAATTTCAGCGTTGCTCATAGAGGGCGCCACTTACGACTAATTTTACCAAAAATTTAGTTAATAACTTTTTACCCTGTATGTCTAACATGAAACTTGATTTAAAACCTGAAAGAGCAATCATTTTTCCATTAATTATGTACTCTTGTTTCATGTCGGTATCTCGATCCGTTTTTGAGAAAAATGGATTTAACGAACACTATGTTTTGATAATACGAGAAATTAAAAACGAAACAAACTAAGTGTTTCGTGATGTTATTACAACAAATAACAATAAAACGAATGAAATACGTAATAATGATTTAAAGTAATTGTTTGAAGAATCCACTGTTGACACTGATAGCTTTACACAAAGTTTTCTTAGAGATCTTCGAGTTTGAAACAACATATTGGGATTGCGTCTGACTTTGTTGGCAGCAATTTGTATTCTTTGCCACAACTCTTCATGCAAACCAATAGATTCTTTGTAAACTATATCTCTCATTCGAGACCAAAAAGAATAATCAAGAGGATTGAAGTCCGGACTTCTGGGTGGCCAAGCAAAAATTCTTCCACGGCTTGAAGGCTTATTTAAGAAGAGACATGTGGTCATGCACGACGGAGCTCCACCGCATTTTTCTCGGCCAGTGCGTGCATATTTAGATGCAGTTTTCCAAATCGCTGGATTGGCTATGTCAGCATTTGCCAACGAAGTCAGATGCAATCCCAATATGTTGTTTCAAACCCGAAGATCTCTCAGAAAACATGTAAAGTGTATTAGTGTCAACGGTGGATTCTTCGAACAATTACCTTAAATCATTATTCAGTATTTCATTTGTTTTACTGTTAATTGTTGTAATAACATGAAGAAACACTTAGTTTGTTTTGCTTTTAATTTCTCGTATTATCAAAACATAATGTTCGTTAAATCGATTTTTCTCGAAAACGGATCGAGGTACCGAAATGAAACAAGAATACATAATTAATGGAAAAATGATTGCTCTTTCAGATTTTGAATCAAATTTCATGTTAGACATACAGGGTAAAAAGTTATTAACTAAATTTTCGGTAAAATTTGTCGTAAGTGGCGCCCTCTATGAGCAACGCTGAAATTGCAACACACATCTTATTTGTCGCTTAAAAAAATATAGTTTCACAAATTTTCAAGTTCCTAACTTACATATTTTCAGAATAATCGCAAAAAAAAACGATTTAAAATTTCAACTTTCAACACCTTGTATTTCCGAAACTATCAACTTTCGGATAAGGCATGTTTGCGTCACCATTTCATGTGTAGTATCTTCAGCTTTCGATTTTCCCATTGTTAATGAATCACCCTGTATGTACAGTGGGGTTCGGTTATAACATCTCAAGGAACAGTTAAATTATATCATACCTACTGAACAGTTAACTGAAAATTATTCTAGCAAAATGTGTTACAAATATATCAGTAAAAGTGGAGTCGTAACAACCAAACTCCAATGAAATAAGTAATTCAAGTAATTACTTAATTTGTTTAGATTATTTTCTCAATTGTCGTTTGTACTTATTATATAACTTTAAAATTTTCTTTAATCCTTACGTAAATTTCTCCAGTACTTTGGAATACCACGACAGTGTCAGTGTGAATGCAAGGTGCCAACGCATTTGTGACCAATGGGACAGACTAGGAGCCCTAACGCAGCGTCGTCGTCAAGCATTAGATGACGCGGAAAGGATTCTAGAAAAGATCGATATTCTCCACTTGGAATTTGCTAAACGTGCAGCTCCATTCAATAACTGGTTGGATGGAACCCGTGAGGACTTAGTGGATATCTTCATTGTTCATACCGTTGAAGAAATCCAAGGACTTATTGATGCACATCATCATTTCAAGGTATAATTTTGGAATAAGATTCGTGTGAAGGTAATGACTTAACAACTGATTTCAGGCAACATTGGGAGAAGCTGACAAGGAGTACCAAAGCATTGTAGGACTTGTTAGGGAAGTAGAATCTATTGTTAAGCAGCACCAAGTACCTGGAGGGCTAGAGAATCCTTACACTACTCTAACAGCCCATGTAAGTTCTTTTGTATTAAATACAATATTTAAATTTGAATCACCTCATTTGCAAAAAATTGTTCCACGAGGATTATTTGAAGAGAAAAAAGTTCTGAAAAATATCATTATTATTAGAAATATTTGTGGCACATTACAAATTGATATTTGTTTCAATTAACTACAAAATTTCAAATCATCAATCATCTTCAATCATTTTGTTTTTAAACATGTGTTTTAACATAGCTTTAAGTTAAAGCTTAAATATTGTGCTGTCATCTTGGTAAAATTTACTCATTTAAGTGTGGGTGAGATTTAACTTAAAAAAGTATCTGTTAAATTCTAATGACATTGTTACTCAGTGCCTACTGGCACAAAGCACTGCTTTGTACCTGCTGGCAGAGAGTGATCTAATCAAAAGGTACTATGACAGCATGACTAGTGTCACACAGGCCCGGTACTTTGCTTCTTGATTAACTAAAGATATGGGACCATTAAAATTTAATTCATGGACTTTGTACTTTTTTCTTGGTTAACAACTAACGTCTGGTTAACGCTGATCTTGCTAAATTAACAGGCCTACCAACCCGCTGCTAAAACTGATCGTTGAGTTAATCTACAGTCGAATTCTACCAAACGGCATTCCATATTTCATTAATTCTAATTTGAATTTCACAGCAGAGAAACAGATACCTAATCGAATTCCGAATAATTCTATGAAATTTTATGTTATTTTCAAATGGATCTCGATTTTGAAGACATTTTTGAAGATGATTACAAAGTCATTCAATTTATTAATGATCAGCGCATATACAGGGTGTTTCTGAAATAAGTGCGTCCCTTGAAAAGGGTGATGGAGAACCCGAAGATGAGCAGCTTTTATTAATGGTCCAAATGCTTCTGTTTTCGAGAAAATTAATCAAGGAAGTTAATCATAAATGTAAGCCGATTCTGTGCATCTTGTGCACGTGCGTTGTGTATTGCAGTATTACTTAGCCGGCATATGAAATGTTTTCTGATCAAGAACTAGCAGATATGATGTTAATGAAGGGAGAATGGGAGAATGACATTACAATTTAAATGAGACCTGTCGTTTGAATGCGGTCCAATACCATAATAGACGACAACCTAACAGTAGAACAGTGCAAAAGGCAGTTCAAAGGTTAAAGTATACCGAGAATGTCCACCTGACATATGAAGAAAGCATAAACCTCGTTGAGGAAAATCGGAGACACAACACTAGTGACATTGTCCTAAAAGTGGGTGTATCTAACAGTACCATGTACTACGGGAACAATTATTACACGCTTATCATACAAAGGGTTTATCGTACAAAGGGTTCAGGCATTAAATAACAATGATTTTCAGCTCCGTGTGGAATTTTGCCAATGATTTCGACATCAAATAGCACAAGATCCGGATTTTACAAGTAAGCTGCTTTTTACGGATGAATGTTTACTAGAGAAGGCTTGCTAAATTTTCACATCATTCACTATTGGTGTGATGCAAATTCTCATGTACAGAGATTTCGGTTCCAGCAACGATTTTCAGTGAATGTGTGGTGTTGTGTTTTTGGTGACAGAATTTTTGCCGTCGTTTGGAGGCATGTTTATTCGCACATGGAAACAACTTTGAACAATTTTTGTAGAGCATGTCATCTATTGGAAAGTAATTAGTTTATTCATTTAATTTTTGTGTTACGAGGTTTGAATAAATTTCAGCATTTTCGAACACAAAATTTAAAGCGACGCAGCTTTGACATCAGATACAGCTGGCTGCTGCACCAAGGATGATTTTAAATTTGTTTAATCCTTCATGTGTTTTTTTATAAGTAATAATAAAAGCTGATTATTTTTGTGCCCTCTATCACTCTTTTCAAGGAACATACTTATTTAAGAAACACCCTGTATACAGTTCAAGATCGATGAAATAATTTAAATAAATGGGCTCAGGAGTTTTTTTTACAGACTAAGGTATGCGACTGTTTTTTACTGTATTTTATAAGAAACTCAACATTTATTACAACCTCTTTATTTTAAAGATTAGTAGGTAATTATAAGAAATTATGTTCAGAACTAAGTCAAAACATCGCAACACACATTGAAGATTGAGGTTAGAAATCTCTCAGTGCTCCATCACCATATCAGTGTAATTAAAAGAAAAAATATTAAATTAAACTTCTATTTCTTGTTTTCCATTTAATTTTATTACATATATATATAGGTAAACAGATATATCCGTTTCTCTTACAGTTGCATTTATGAGTCTACCTTGGCAAATGTTTCTAGTCTGGCTGAATGGTACCTACTTTAAACTTAATGTTCTAGTAGATGTAGCTCAAAATACAGTAGTAGATATTTATTAAATAATTATTTTTTTATCGGCATTAACCAATGCTTTTAATTAGAACTTTAAGTACTGGGCCTAAGTGAATTAAACTTTTTAATTGATGATATTTATGGGAAACAACTACTTTGTAGGTTATATGCCCCATCCAGTATTAAATCACACCCGTAATATGTAGTAAGTAAACGACAAAGATTATTCATTATATGAATCAACTGATGTAGACCTGTTTTGAACTTATTAGTTCTCATCAGTATGACATAGGTGAGATGACCGACGAACGATTTAGCTATTTGTAGGTTGATCTACCATGTTTCATATCTTAAATACCATTCACTCAATACTTACTGCTACCAAGTTTGCTTTGATCATACTGGCAGAAAGTGACCTACTAATCTGTAGATACTATGAGAATCTGACTAGCGTCGCACTAGGTGAATTAAACTTTTAACATGATATCGACGCTTTAGTACAAAAACATGCTATCTCAGATTTCGGTTGGAAAACATGCTATCTCAAATTTCAGTTGGAAAACGTGCTATCTCAAATTAAGTTTGGAAAACATGCTATCTCAGTGTGATTAGAAATTTAAGTTGGCACATTGAATGATTGAAACCGTGCATTTATAATAAACTTATATAATATATTTTTAAAAAAGTAAGGAATGTTTACACTGTTTATTTTATTTTTTTTTATTCAACATTTTGCAATTAATTTTGTTAAGTTACTGTTATAAACGACAAAATTGTTAATTAAAAAAATAGAATAATATGCAGTATGCTGCAACACGTAGGTACATTACTCGACGTTTTTTGAAATAACAAATTATTAAAAAAATAGTAATATAATATATAATAATTTTTGTTATTACTACAAATTATTCTATTATTTTCATACAAGTTTGCTTTGATATCAAAATTAATAGCGTACTCTTGTCTGATTTTTTTTGTGTGCAGATCCACTTCTTATTTGTGGAAGGGCGAAATGGGCGGTGACTATTAGACGCCTTCATTATAGCCATCTTTCTCTATCGCACGGATTTCTATGACTTACTTTATCGCTCTCACGTAACTGCCGATGAACCATGGGGACTTTCCGACCCTGTATATCAATTTTTGATACATATCGGCTATTATATATATGTTAATAGCTGATATATATCAATTTTCCCGCCATTTCACCAACAAAGCCAAATTTCAAACTTAACCTTACCTACATTTTAAAACAAAAAATTTGTGGTGTGGTAGTTAACTCTTTTATCTATGGTGGTAGTTGAGGTGGCTTGTCATTGTCAAGCAAATCATAAAATAAAAAGTTATTCAAAAATCAAAATGCCACGTAAACAAAACCTTGTATGGAAATACTATAAAAGGTACTCGAGAGGAATACCTGTACTTGTATATATTGTAAAAAAATGTTTATAACCAATCCTAGGAGAATGGAAAAACACTTATCAGTTTGTTCAAAAGCGCCAGCCGAAATTAAAAGGTTGTTTTCTCAAGAAAACAGAAGTTCTCAGAATAAAGAAAATCAGGTATCTACTTACTTAAATTTCTCATTTAAATTGTACTACTTTTTTAACCATTTAATTAAAAATCTACCTACTAAGATTACAAAGTATCTAAATAATTTTTGTAGATTCCTATTGCTGATACACAAAGTACAAAATCTTCAAATTCAAGCATTCTAAACTTTTACGACCACATAAGTGATAAAGTTTACAATTGAATACGCTACTAGCTAGAGCAATATATGCCACATGTTCCCCTTTGTCATTGGTGGAAAACAAATATTTCAAGACATTTCTGAAAACTATACGACCATCTTACAGTCCTCCGTCAAGATATCAAATATCCACAGGTTTGTTGGATAAGGAGCACAATCTAATACAGGAAAAAATTGGTAAAAAATTAAGTAAAGCCAATTCTCTGATCCTGCTTTCGGATAGTTGGACGGATATCAACGGAATATCCTTAATAAATATAGTATTTTCAACACCGGAACCGATATTTTACAAAACGATAGATAGTAAAACAGAAAGTCATACAGAGCAATATATAGCAGATGTGTTATCTAAGGCTATAGAAGAAGTGGGATCACAAAAAGTAGATGCCGTAGTGACGGATAATGCGAGAAATATGAAACTAGCATGGAGTTTATTAAAAGAAAAACACCCACACTTAGTAACCTATGGATGTATTGCTCATGGAATTAACCTTCTCCTTAAAGATCTTTACAGCCTGCCCTCAGTTTCAAAATGTACTGCATCTATAAAAGATATTATAAAATTTTTCAAAAATAAGCATATGGCAAAGCAAGTTTTAAAAGAAATTCATTTAACCGATAATGGTAATAAAGAAATTGCTCTAATAACGTATGTTGAGACCAGATGGGGCTCAATGGTGCAATCTTTTGTAAGTGTTTTAAAGAACAAAGATTTTCTTCAAACAGCTGTGTTGCATAAATATATTCGTCCAATAGTGGACGCACGAATTCGTAGATACATTTTAGACGAGGACGAGTTTTGGCCTAAGGTAAATTTTATTACGGAATTTACTAAACCACTGGAAGGAGATACTTCTTTATTATCTAAAGTATATTCCCACATAAAAGTACTGGATGACTTATTTTGTAATAAGTTGGATTTCCTAAATAATGTAGAGATAATTAAGGCTAAAGAAATATTTGAACACAGAAAATCCTTTATTTTTCACCCAGTCCAATTAGCGGCTTATCTTTTGGACCCGAAAGAAATAGGTAACAGAATGACTGAAGATGATATGAATATAGCTTTGAATTTCATAGCTGAGTTTGCTTCTATACGGAACTACGATATGGACAAAATATTGTCAGATTTGGCAAATTATAAAGCCCGAGCAGGGCCATTTAGTAATTCAAATATTTGGCGAGCTGCCAACAGTACGAATCCTACTATATGGTGGAAGGGTTTTTTCCAGAATTATGAGTTGTCAAAGGTAGCCACAAGAATACTAAATTTCCCTCCAACATCAGCTAGTTGTGAGCGCAACTGGAAAACGTACTCTTTGACTAAAACTAAAAAGCGAAATCGATTGACCATAGAAAGAACGAATAAGTTAATAACAGTAAAATACAATTTGCAGTTATTAAATGACGAAGATTTCCAACAAACCGATTTACTTACCGGAGAAGAAACCGAAGTTAAGAGTGATGAAGAAATTGCAATGGGTGAAAGTACAGCAAGTGAGGACAGTGACTTGATTATATATGATGAGACTGATGATGAACAAATTGATGATATTAATGGCGAAGACAGTATTGACGAAGAAATGGCAGAAGATATAGATCTAGAAAATGAATGTGTCGAAGAATTTGATATTGAAAATAATCAGAGAACTTTTTCTGAAAATATTGAGCAAGGTTTAGAAGAAGCAAATGAAACCATTGATGAAGATGACCAAAATATGGATATGGTAAATGAATTAAATATAATTAGTGGACAGAATGAGGAAGACCCAATTGACACTGACACTAATGAACACGATAGAATTATGTACGTGCCAGGCAATTTTTTTGTATTTGGAAGACTTGCTACAGAAAAAGATCAGTGATTTATCCACGCCTTAATTTTGATTTACTATATTTTTTATTTTTTCATATTGGAAAACAAAATATGTTTATTATTAGTTTTATTTTATTTATTTCCATATTTTCTGTTAAGTGTTAAATGTGAGTAAAGTTTATTTTGTTTTTTAAGTTTTTATTATTTACCTTCCCATCCTTAAGTAAGTACTACTTTAAAGCAGTTTCTTTATTATCATAAGTTTTTGATAATTTTTATTTCAATTTTTATATCTTTAATTTTTTTTAAGTATTGTGATATACAGACTAAATTTTCTTGTTCTAGAAACTTCCCATTTTTTATTTGTAGGTAGATAAAACTAAATTGCTAATAAACAGTGTACTTGCCTATAAACAGTCATTGAATTATATTAAGTACACAACAAAAATTAGAAGTCATTGCCATCATAATTATAATGATTTTATTAATTAAAACAACAACCTATTTCAAATTGATTATTACTTTTACTATAAGGTGTCAATGTAGATATGATGAAAAAAAATAAAAAATTCCGATCTAAATATGAAAAATAATAAAGATCACTTGATAACTTTTCTAACAGTTCATATAAATGACATGTATTTGGTGTCAAATTAATCAGCAAGGCATTAGCAATATTTAACAAAATTCATCTGATATATACCTATATTGATATATACTTTGATATATATCACCCAAAAGTAAATAGCATGCTATTTTACATCACTAATACACATCATTCAACTTTATTTATTATATTTATATTCTGGTTATTATGTTAACTCTATTAACAAAAGTAAGAGTAGTGACTATAAATTAGATAAAAAAATCGAATAATTTTTAGTAATAACAAACATTTTTATATAGTAAGGTATACCCTATTTTTATATAATTTGTTATTTCAAAAAACGTCGAGTAATGTAAGTGTTGCAGGATACTGCATATTATTCTATTTTTTTAATTACCAATTTTGTCGTTTATAACAGTAACTTAACAAAATTAATTGAAAAATGTTGAATAAAAAAAAATAAAATAAATAGTGTACCTGAACATAATCATTTCTTACTTTTTTAAAAATATATTATATAAGTTTATTATAAATGCACGGTTTCAATCATTCAATGTGCCAACTTAAATTTCTAGTCACACTGAGATAGCATGTTTTCCAAACTTAATTTGAGATAGCATGCTTTCCAACTGAAATTTGAGATACCATGTTTTCCAACAGAAATCTGAGATAGCATGTTTTCGTACTAAAGCCTCGATATGGGAAACATAAACATCCAAATAGCTAAATCGTTTGTTAGTATCCTGATGAAAATCAATAAGTTTAAAACCGGTTTATGGCGGGTGATTCTACTATATATTTGGGGGTATACGTCAATGCTAGGCAGGCGGTTGTTTCCCATAATACTTATTAGTTAAACGGTATATTTATTTACTAACGATTTTTCATCAAATGAACTAATTAGTAGCAAATGTAAATTTGTTTGTGAAGATCAAGAAAATTATTTCTGGTACAACATAAAAACATAGAACATTGCTAGAGAAAGAACATAGAAATTTAAAGAAGCCATATTGAAAAATTAATTTAAAATAAAGGCACTAATTACATTCTTTCATAGTTAGGTTGAGAATTTTTCAAGTTGCTCTCTTGCCGCTCAAGTTATAGACCCTCCACATAAAACTTAATTCACCATTTAGTCTAACTCATTGCAATTTTTTATTTAAATGTTTCCTTATTACTGTACCTATTCACCGTTCATCATTTTCATCATTATCATCAATTTAATCAATTTAAATTTTTTGTACCTGTTTTGTGCATAAATAAGGAAGGATTTGGTGGTGAACTAGAGGTAAAATGTCGGTTTATTGTACCCCACTTTTGAAAATATGTTGAACGGTGATTTCTTTGCAGGACTTGACCAGAAAATGGGGAGAAGTTAGGCAGTTGGTGCCACAGAGGGATGCTACTCTTCAGGCCGAACTTAGAAAACAACAAAGTATCCTTTTTAGTAATTTGAAAATGCAACATGACATAACTTTTATCAAAAAAATATACAAGGTGTTTTGAACTGAATGCGATAACATTGCTATCTTGGAAATCGTAACGAGATGATTAAATTGGGCTTAATTTAATGCGTAATAATTTTCTTTAGAGAAATCAAAATGTTTGTCGGTTTGGGAGTTTGTCTAGAATAAGATTTTCTATGCACTGTTTTGTTTTTGAACAACCACCATCAACTTAATTTTTTATATACAAACATAAAGATTACATCATTCAGAATAATTTTTCTCCAAGAATGTTGGTATTCAACTTTTTTTGTACAGTTTATGTGTAAAAACAAATTCAACTTTTCCTACCGGAAACAAAATTTTAAGGCTATACTTTTATTCTGTGGTAGGTTTCACTTTATTTACTTAAATTTTTGCTCTTTTTCCTATAAATTTTGAAAACATCAATAAATTTGAAAAATTCCTTAAACTATCCACATAGATAATGAAATGCTCAGGCGTCAGTTTGCTGAAAAAGCCAACGCTGTCGGTCCATGGATTGAACGTCAATTGGATGCGGTTACTGCTATCGGTATGGGACTACATGGTACCCTTGAAGATCAATTGCACCGTCTTAAGGAGTATGAACAGGGCGTATACGCATACAAACCACACATTGAGGAGTTAGAAAAGATACATCAAGCTGTCCAGGAGAGCATGATCTTCGAAAACAGGTATAACTAAAATAGTTTTTATTTAAATAATTATTAATTTTTTGCGAAGAGATATTTTTTTAAATCATAATTATAATGAAATCAAAAATATTTTTCTATTTTTTTTTATTTATTAGAACAATAATTAATTTTGGTTTAATCTAATATATTTTTACCTCTTTTTCCTGGCAGCGAGGAGGAAAGGTATTGCTTTTTTTTTCATATTAATAGCATATAGCAAAGTAGAAAATTGTTTTCTTTAGCACGGTAGCTAGTAGTCACCTAATATTTCTATTAAATTTGATAGTATTTTAGATTTATAATACTATTACTCAATGTCAAACAGGGTCTCCACAGCACAGCAAAGTAGAAATATGAATAAAGGAAAATTGAAATATTTGTAATATACAGGGTGTTGCGCTTAAATGTGATGTGATATTTTATGGCTGATTTCAAAAATTTTTTTAGAATATAGGGTAAAAAACTATTTAACTGCAGCAATACTGCTGTTTTTATTAATACAATACATGGCCAACTAGGACCTGTTTTTTATAGTCGATTTAAAAATTTTTTTTTAGAATGTAAGGTAAAAAAACTATCTAACTGCAATACTGCTGTTTTATTAATGCAATATACGGCCAACTAGGACGTGTTTTTTTATGTCAAAACAGCCAATTGGTATTAATGATTCTTTTTCCAAAAAACAGATTATGTATTCTTATTCAGCATCCCTTAAAATGTCCTATCACCAAGTTTCATCAAATTCGATACATCTTTAGGCGAGCACTTCATGATGTTGCGCTTAAATGTGATACAAGCCTGTAACTTTATTTTTTGACTGTTTTCAAAAAAATTTTTGTAGAATGCTGGGTAAAAATCTATCTAACTGTGATACTGCTGTTTTTATATAGTGCTGGTTATAGATGTAATTAAATAAAATTGCCTTTAAGATTGACATGAATTATTGATATTAATCTTAATAGTCCAAGCATTCTGTCACGTATTGATGTTAAATTTGCAAAAGTTATTACCTGGACAAAAAAAATATAACCGTATAGAAAATTAAATTTTAAATTGAGTTTCTAGTTCTTTAAACCCGATCCAAAATGGCGAACATGGTTAAAAAAAATCGCAAAGTTGCAAAAAATTTTGCATTTTTCTAAAATAACTAAAAAAATATAGCACCGATGAAAAAATTTTAAATGAGAAAGTTGTAGGTTTTAAAAAGATCTATCGACTGATTTTTTATAAGTATCGATTGCTTTGTTACTTTTCGAGATATATCGAAAAAACCGTTAAAAATCTTCTCTTTTCTCTTCTTCTATAACTCGTTTACATTTAGGTTCCCTTACTTGCTATTTACTGCAAGCATAGCCCGCGGCGCCAAAAAAGTACATTTTTGATAAATTTAAAAATTTTAATTATTTTTCGAGATATATCGATTTTTTGAAAAAAAGGTGCTCTCGAAAATTGGTTAGATCTCAGCGGATAGCCCTACAGTGACGACTTTCGGTTTATTTTCTTCGTAAAGAGTTATATTATCATGCTGTTAAAAAATGTTGACGATTTTATTAATTTTAAGGATCAAAAAAAGACTGAAAAAGCTGCACTTTTTTTGGGTACATTTTTTTCAAACTATTTCAATTTTTATTTTATGAAAATGACTTTTAAAGAAAGAAACTGCTGTCATTTTTTCAAGAATTTTAAAAAAAAATTTTTCTACGACCTGGAGCCGAAATAATTTTTTTATTTAAAAAAAATTTTGAGGACGCAATTAACATTTTACAGCGATGCGCTTGATGGAGGTTAATATTGAATACTTATACTTTCAAAAAAAAGAAAAAATAATAGGATATCAACTTGATTTTTAGTATTAGTAATTGAGTAATAGGGGGCGCGCACTTGCTCTGAAAACTGATGACTTGCAGTCTAAATGGCTCGCGCTTGCAAAATCTTTGATATCTCGACTTCTGGACCATGTACAAAAATTCTTTTGTACTTAATCTGGGATAGCTAAACACAAATATTATAGTCATTTTCGCCTTAGAAGCAAAATAGTCTCGTAAATGTTTAGTTTTTATTTAACTTATATTTTTTTTACTTTTATATACTTCTTCACGAAAATATGGACGACGAACAAGAAAATTAATTAATTAAAGACAATCCGACAAAGAAAAGAAGAATTTCATTCGATAAATAATTTTATCTATACAGGGTGTTTCTAAAATTGGATTCCAAACTTCTGCTGCATTTATAACTCATTAAAATAAGCCAAAAAATTCCTATTAACGTGCCCTAAAACGCACCCTTAGGAAGTTATATGACCTTAAAAGGGCTCCAACAAAACCTTAAATTTTCCACTCACCACTTTTACTAATTAAACACTGCAAAGCTCAATTGACAGTTTATCAATAACTTAAATTGTTAAGCGTTGAACGTCAGTCTTTTATTTGCCATGGTAAACAGATTTTTGTAATTTTTGGCCTAATAACTGAAAGAGCAGAGTATTTTTCAAATTCAATTTACTCGAAAACCATTGGAAATATCGATTTTGACAAAAATTATATTTTTTACGTAAAATTGTTAAGATTTTATAAATCTGTAGAGGAAATTGTAAAAAAATTGAAATAAAAAAAATTACGTGCCGAAAACCCCCTTCATCAACCTAAATGGGATGCATATGATTTGCATGTCGAAGAACGGAGTAGCCCATGTTATTTAACGTAAAAAGTTATGTAAGACCCATAATTTTTTTTTTATTTATTTGCGACCGTTTTGTCAATAACAGAAAAAAAACAGTTTTGTTTGAGCCCTTTTAAGGGCATATAAGTTCCTAAAGGTGCGTTTTAGGGCACATGTTAATAGGAACTTTTTGGCTTATTTTAATGAGTTATAAACGGAGCAGAAGTTTGGAACCCTATTTTAGAAACACCCTGTATAGTTCTTCTTAGTTTTCATTGTAATAATTTTATAGATATTTTATACATAGTTGTATAATTGTAAGATTCGATCGACTTACCTGTAAGGAAGATCAATCTCAATTATTTGAGCATCGTAGTTCTTCTATGATTCAAGTTGGTAGGTCTCACTTATACATGACGCACGCACAGGTTTAAAGGGAAAAAGTGTTTCGTAACGGTCCGTTACTACTTATTGATAGCCAGCCAGTTCATTTTGTGACCGAACCAATCGCGCTGTGGGTAAAAAAAAAAGAGTGACGGGTGGGCCCCATCATAGAAGAACTACGATGCTCAAATAATTGAGATTGATCTTCCTTACAGGTAAGTCGATCGAATCTTACAATTATTTTTCGCATCTCCGTTCTTCTATGATTCAAGTTGGTAGATGTTTAGAGTAAACAATTAGCACGATTAAGTGCAGTCAAAAAAAGTTTCTAAATTATGCGCTATTTTATAGTTTTACGATAAAAATTTCTCAAGACGTACTTATATTTTATCAAATTATGACAATCAGAAGAATTAGTGGCTTCTTCTGCTTACTGTTTTCATATTTGATCTAAATTAGTTTTTAAAACAAACTTTTTTTTTCAGTTTTCCGTTATTATTGACCATATATCACTTATTATGTATCATACATTATATATTACATGATTTATATACCACATTCTATAAATCATATAGACTATACTATATATCATATACTATATACATATACAGGGTGATTCATTAACAATGGGAAAATCGAAAGCTGAAGATACTACACGTGAAATGGTTTTTTGCGATTATTCTGAAAATATGTAGGTTAGGAACTTGAAAATTTGTGAAACTATATTTTTTTAGGCGACGAATAAGATGCGTGTTGTAATTTCAGCATTGCTCATAGAGGGCGCCACTTACGACCAATTTTGCCATAAATTTAGTTAATAACTTTTTACCCTGTATGTCTAACATGAAACTTGATTCAAAACCTGAAAGAGCAATCATTTTTCCATTAATTGTGTTTTCTTGTTTCATTTCGGTAAATTAAATAAAAACTAAACATTTACAAGACTATTTTGCTTGTAAGGCAAAAATGACTATAATATTCGTGTTTGCTACCCCAGATTAAGTACAAAAGAATTTTTGTACGTGGTCCAGAAGCCGAGATATCAAAGATTTTGCAAGCGCGAGCCATTTAGACTGCACGTATTAGTTTTCAGAGCGAGCGAACGCCGCTTTCCCCTACTTTTCCGTCCCGTCCAGCTGACGCACTCAGCGCTTGCACCCTTCAGTTTATTACTCAATTACTAATACTAAAAATTCAAGTAAACATATCCTACTATTTTTTTTTTTTTTGAAAATATAATTATTTAATCCTCCATCAAGAGCATCGCTGTAAAATGTTAATTGCGTCCTCTAAATTTTTTTTAAATAAAAAAATTATCTCGGCTCCAGAAGGTCGTAGAAAAACTTTTTTTTTTTAATTTGTGAAAAAATGTCAGCAGTTTCTTTCTTTAAAAGTCATTTTCATAAAATAAAAATTGAAATAGTTATTTGAAAAAAACATACCTAAAAAAAGTGCAACTTTTCTAGTTATTTTTTGATTCTTAAAATTAATAAAATCGTCAAAATTTTTTTTTAGCAGCACGATAATATAACTTTATGAAGAAAATAAACCGAAAATCATTACTGTAGGACTATCCGCTGAGAAGATCTAGCCAATTTTTCGAGAGCGCCTTTTTTTCAAAAAATCGATATATCGAAAAATAATTAATATTTTTAAATTTTTCAAAAATGTACTTTTTTGGCTTGCCGCGGGCTATGCTTGCAGTAAATAGCAAGTATGGGAACGTAGATGTAAACGAGTTATAGAAGAAGAGAAAAGAAGATTTTTAACGGTTTTTTTCGATATATCTCGAAAAGTAACAAAGCAATCGATACTTATAAAAAATCAGTCAATAGATCTTTTTAAAACCTACAACTTTCTCATTTAAAATTTTTCAATTGGTGCTTTTAGTTATTTTAGAAAAACCGTTTTTTGCAACTTTGCGATTTTTTTTAACCATGTTCGCCATTTTGGATCGAGTTTAAAGAACAAGAAACTCAATTTAAAATTTAATTTTCTATATTGTCATATTTTTTGTCCAGGTAATAATTTCTGTAAGCATTTCTGTATAATGCTTGGACTATAAATACATACAATTTAGTATAAGATACTTACAAAAAATACTACTTTTTTTTCATCAAAAAGCTTTTAAATTTATTAAAAGGAGGAAAAAAAACATTATATATTATGTTCAAAATGGTGTCCACTAAGTATGCATAAATTACTCTCCTATGCATATTTTCATTGCTGTTTTAAAAATACTATTCAGATGTCCAAACAAAAAAAAATCTAAGAGTTAGGTCCGTTGACTGACTGGCCGCATCCCTTGACTAACCAGTCATAAAATAAAATCATAAAATTCTTCTAAAGATTAAAACTTTGCTCTTGCCAATATGTACATTTACTCAATTTTTTTTAAAGTAACTTACTTGCAACTCATTGTTAGATTAATTGCGCTAAAAATGGCTCCAAAATAAGTGTTGCGATATCGTTACCCAAACACCACCTACTTTTAAGGAATGTAAACTGATTTCCACAAACGTGTGAGGATTTTCTGCGACTAAGGTTCTATAAATTATTACTGATGTTTTCTAGAAACCACACAATACCGTAATCATCTTCTATAGTTTATTCGAAGTAATTCCTGCAAAATTACCTTGCACGGATGTAATTGCAATTTTTTTAAAGCTTTATGGCATATTTCATCTGAAAGGCCTAAAAATGAATATTTTCAGATGTAAACTAAATCTCAATTTAAAAAAAAATTTCGAAGTTAATATATTTTAGAAATTCATTCTAAACTGAATTTGAATTATTTTTTTTTAATTGTCCTTGTTGCGAGAAACAACTACTCCGTGGGCTATATGCCCCAACCGGCATTGAATTATACTCGCAACACCTAGTGCAACAGCTAAGATCGTTCGTCAGTACAAGCCATAATGCGTGCTGAAGTAAAAATATTATTAATCTCAAAATTTTGTTTCTATTACATCTTATCACTAATTCGACAAAATGTCAAAAAAGTTTAGCTGTGAAATATGTACAATTTACTGTAGCAAAAGGAAACAATAAAACAATGACAGAAAATTGGATGATGGACACTACTGAAAAATGCTTAAATGTCAGTTTAGTGTCGTTAATCATAATGATTCGGTTACTTGTTTTTTTTTTTAAGGAACACCGTACATATTTTTACATATTTGAGTAGAACATCCTGTGTATTTTTATATACATAGTTAGAACATTTTCTTTAGAATTAGTCATACAGAGTTTGATAGTTTGTAATAAATTATTCCATTTGGCATCTAAAGTAGATAACTAAACTAAATTAAATAATGATTTCCTCTAGGTATACACAGTATACGATGGAAACTTTGCGCGTAGGATGGGAGCAGCTTTTGACGTCAATCAATCGTAACATCAATGAGGTAGAGAACCAGATCCTTACCCGAGACTCCAAGGGTATCACACAGGAACAACTGAATGAGTTCAGATCATCTTTCAACCATTTCGATAAGAACAGGCTAGGCCGCCTAACCCCAGAAGAATTTAAATCGTGTCTTGTATCTCTTGGTTACTCCATCGGAAAGGACAGACAAGGCGATATCGACTTCCACAGAATCTTGGCGGTAGTTGATCCTAACAACACTGGATTTGTGCACTTCGATGCCTTCCTCGATTTTATGACCAGAGAGAGCACAGACACGGACACTGCAGAACAGGTCATTGACAGTTTCCGCATATTAGCAGCTGACAAGGTGAGTGCTACTTCAGTAAATAATGTTATGTTTTATATTCCAGTGCAACTTTTTTAATCCAAATCTCAACAATTCAAATTCTTTCATAATACCAGTAGGCATTAATTTACAAATATGTATATTGTAAACCAATAAATGCATCTTCAAAACATATTCCTTTACAAAGCATTTATGATATTGGAATCTTAATTGGAATGCTCATAGAAATTATTTTCTTACTTTGACCCAAGGAATATTAGTCCAGGAGAGCTACGAGTACATATTGGCATGGCTGTTGCTTGAGATAGATTAGATATTAGTAAAAAAAAAAGAAATACAATGAAAATATAAGTTAGCGTTGGGGAAAAAAGTTCTACTTTTTCAAGGAAAAATTAATAAGTGCAAAAATATGCAGAAATGATGTATTTTTTCTCATATTTTCCAATGTAACTTTGTAAATGTGCAGTTTACAGAAAATACATTACTAATGAAATTGTTTGTTATGAAATTTCTTACAAGATAAAATTGTTTTGATACAAATAGAAAATGTGAAATATGTTTCATAAATATCAAATATTTTTTTTCTATATCATATACAATAAATTACACATCAAATAACAATTTCAAGATTTTAAACATTATTACGTACTATGTAATTATTAAAACTAATAGCTAATAACAGGGAACAATGTATATCTACCATCAATATTATTATTTACATGCATATTTAATAACAATTAAATATGTGAAATTTTAAGTACCTAATAATTAATAATAATGAAATCTTGATAATTGATTTTTTTTTAAATTGACATCAAAAATCAAAATTGGAGCCTTAGAAGCCGAGATATTGCGCAAGAAGTGCATGCGCTCGTTTTGAATGCACCATTTCAACATACATATAATTCCTTCCTTCCCCTCTGGATTTGCCGCTCTGATGGTCGGCTTAATAATATTCAAATTCAATAATTTTCCTACAAAAAGTACATATGCGATAGTAGTAAACCTACCAAATTAAAATTTTGCTTTTACATTATGCATAGTTTTGCAGCTAAGCTTGTTCCTTTGACACTCGATATCTCAGACCGATTTGAACGTTCTTTTTTTTCCAAGTTGAGGGTCTTTCAAAGAACTTTTTTTTAGTACTTTCACATATTTTGCAACCTCGCAAAACTGCTTCACAAAATTATTTGCTTATAAAATAAAAATTTTTGGAACTTTTAAAATCACTCCAAAAGTTGTTGAAAAAAAGAAAATTGATATTATAATGATTCTATATGATAGCTAATAGATCCAACTATGTACAAAAAAAAATTATATTTTGCACTGAAATTAATAAACAAATTGCCTCATGCCAAAACTATAAGGCCGATTTGGATTGGGTTTTAGGATTTCATTTTGTAAAACTTTAATCCATATTTGTAGTAGAACTGGACAATTTCTTACCTGTCAGTTAAACGCTGCAAGATTACCTCGATTTTCATAACTTTTTTTTTGTGCTGTTTTGGCTATCCGGCAACAAAATTTGACATGCGGCTGTAAAAATAATTAATAATTTAATTAATAAATAATAATCTTGTAGGAAATTTCGTAACAAATAATTTCATTGTAATGGTTTTTCTCTAAACTACATATTTACAAAGTTAGATTGGAAAATGTGAGAAAAGAATATGTTGCGTATTTTTGCACTTTTTAATTTTTCCTGCAAATAGCACAACTATTTTCGAACAATTTTAACTAATATGTAATCTACCTCAAGCAACAGCCACATCTGGAAGTTTTGAACTTAATCCTGGCCTATATAATTTTTATTTATCTACTTGTATTTATATTGTATATTTTTGGACTTCTCATTACAATAACAAAAAAATCAAAAAATTCCTATAATTTTTGTTAATAAAAGGAGTAGTTTTAGGATTATTTTTGATTTATTCAGATGTCACCTGAAACTTATAAAAATTTAAAAAATAATTATTGGTTTCTCGAATAAAATGGAACAGATTTTTATTCCTTAACATCTCTAGACAATACCAGCAGCTGATGAATATTAAAGTTGTCATATTTTGACAACAATGTATGGGACCAATACCATTTTTTAAGGGATGATTTCTGTACTGTGAAGAACATTAATGATGAAAAGATTTCCAATAAAATTTGTAAAATAAATATTTAAACCAGGGATTGCCAATCGTGATTTCTCGGAAAAGGTTGTACTTATTTGTGCTAATAAATACATCTTTTTTTTCCTAATTAACTCGTAGATCCAGAACCATAAAGGATTACAAGCCATGTTACCACCGAGCTTAGACAATCAACAATGCACACACACTGGTACTGTCAATTGAAAATACCTAAATCACCAATATTAGTGATTTGTTTACAATAAACAATGACAAGTTGTTACTTATACACTCGAGATAATGAGTTCGCTGATTGGTTGAATGCTGGTCGCTGATTGGTCCAATTTGGTCGCTGATTGGTTCTTGTGAATAATTACTAATCACCAGCCGGTGAAACATAATGTTGTATTTTAATATAATCGTGATGTTATTATTTTATTTTACTGAAATTTAATTGCCAACACAAAATAAATAAAAAGGAAATAAAATTACTGGTCACATGGCTTGTAATCATTTATGAAAGTTTAGATATTTCTATTTCTCTTTCAATATTTATAATGCTGTAACTTTATGAAGAATTAGAATATTGTTAAAAGTAAGAAATAAAACCGATTGCATATCTCAGTTAATTTCAATAAAAAAAATTTTTACTAAATATATGTGCAACCCTAGTCGAGGTTTTAAGATAAGCAACTCTCTCTTAATTTAATTTTCTATTGCACAGTTACAATTACTTCCAAAATGTTTTTCTCATGCTTTACTATCAAAATATGGCTAATTTAATTTTCACCAGCTGCCATTGGAACATATACATATACATATATAAGAATATAAGTATTCCTAACATTTTTTTTATTTTTAGCCATATATCTTACCTGATGAGCTCCGAAGGGAATTACCTCCAGATCAAGCGGAATACTGCATCCAACGCATGCCGCCTTATAAGGGACCCAATGGAATACCTGGAGCTCTGGATTACATGTCCTTCTCAACGGCCCTCTACGGAGAATCAGATCTTTAAGAAAATCATATCTTGACACCTCTCGTACTGAGGTGATAATAAGAAGCCATAATAGGGTTGCCGGCCCTACCCTCTCTCCCACTCATCATATAAGTATAAATTATTTATTTTTCTGACAGGAACTTGTAATGCTAAACCAACATATCAGTTTTAGTGTTATTGGTCTTGATATATAGGCTTGCCAGCTGAACGACGACTTGATACGCAAGACTCAAGTTGAACCGAGCAATCTTTAATTTTCTTTTTTCATTGTAATCAGATTTTTCAGTAATTTATATATTTGAGTTGCTTGGGATTTTCGAATTTTTATTTTTGACCCTTTTTCTAATTTATTATGTACTTTTTTTGCAAGTGCGCAGATATTTATTTATTTACTTAAGCTTGAAGTGTACAGATTTATTTTATTTTAAAAAAAAGTAAACGCTCTTTATTGCTTTAGATTGTAAGGCTCGATATTGGTTTTAGTTCAAATTTAAACGTAATAAAGAGCTTTTATTATTATACATATATATTTTTTGGTTGGAGTTTATTATTTAATAATGTACAATATATTTTATTTGCCCAAAGTATACTAACTTATATAAAGTCTCAAATAAAAATAAAGTATATTTGATTTAAGAACTTATTTATTTCTGACTTTTAATTTCTTACGGCTAAGTGTTCACAGCCATTGCCGTCAATTATGTACTGATATACAGGGTGTTTTGAAAATAATGTACACATTTTCTAAAATATTAAATTACTACTAACTAAATACAAAAATTTTTTTATTTGCTGTAAAGAAACTAGTATCTTGTGATATTTGGTGTGAAAATGTAATGGAATTCTTAAACCCACCATTTTGATTTTTAATAAACAAGGTTTGATCAAAAAGTAACGAGAATTTTCAAATTGAGCATGCTGTGTCTCGTCTATCGAGTTGTTTCTTTTTTGTGTTTTGATAACACTGTTAGTGACGTGCTGGTCAATTTTTACGCAGCTGCCATGCTTAATTTCTGTTTTGCGGGCGATTGAGTAAGACTTCAGTGTTTTTGGCAATTTTTTGTGTAGCAAAATGTCAGATCAGAGAGTTTGCCTAAAATTTTGTGTTAAAAACGGAAATGTCACAGCCACGAACGAGTTCAGTACAGTGGTACAACCATTTTCAGGAAGGCCAAGAAAACATCGAAGATGACATGAGGTCTGGGTGTCCTAACACATCCACCAATAACGAAAATGTCCAAAAAATTAGAGATTGTGTTTGCTAATAGAAAAATCACCAATCGCAATATTGTTAAAGAAATAATTTCATATGGGTCATGCGAAGCAATTTTTATGAATGTTTTGAACATGAAACGAGTACAGCAAAATTTGTTCCAAAACCGCTGAACTTTCAAGAAGACAAAAACAGCAGCATATAACGACCGCTGAACAAATGTTTATTGACTTTGCTGATGCTCAAATGTGTTATAACTAGATATATAATTTTTGCAAAAAAAAGCAATCAAATTTTGAAAAAACAAATCCAAAATTTCGCATTTAGTCGCTAAATCCAAAACCAAATCTTCAAGTCGACAACAGAATAATAAAGTTGTAAAATAAAAGAAATTCTCGTTATAAAAAATATTGGCGCAACATTTTTAAATTTAACTTAAGTATAATATATGTATCAAATAGTCTTATTGTTAGTTGAAAACCAACATGAAAAATCACTCCACTCAACACTATTTACAGGACTCTATAAACTTTGAATTACTGCTTTTGCAAAAAGACCCCGCAACTATCCTTATGGAAAACCGGTCCCGGTCGAATGGTATGAAACTTTGCGGAATGATAGTCCTCAACGTGTCGATCAAAAAAATCCATGGGACCTAAATCTGAAAAACTACTGTTCTGAAGCTACAGCCTTCTGAAGTTATCGAATCCACATGCTCGATGACCATCAAGTCCAATGATTTGCGGGCAAGTAAAAGCAAATATTTCTTTATAAAGTGACCAAGCTGGCTGTTTCTTGATGTATTTTCGTGTGCTGAAAAGTTCGTGGTCAAAATATCTGTATCATCCTTCAGTGTTCAGAAAATCGGTGAAGCACCTACTGAAGAACAGCGATAGCGACACGTACTGCTTGAGCGATATCCTATGTTTTTTTGGCATGCTGAACACTTATCCGTAATCAGCATATCTGCAGCATTCCTCAGTCTTCAGAAAATAACTGAAGCACCTTCAGAAAAGTTGACTTGAAAGTCATCGAGCACATGGATTTGATAACTTCAGAAGGCTGTAGCTTCAGAACAGTAGTTTCTCAGACCTAAATCCCATGGACTTTTTTTATCGACATATTGGGGACTATCATTCAGCAAAGTTTCGTATCATTCGACTGGGACGGATTTTTCATAAGGATAGTTGCGGGGTCCTTTAGTGAATGTATTTAATTGCCCATAAAACCTGAAGATCATCAAGAGTGTCTGTTTTAGCTTCTGCTGCTAAGAGTTGTCGATGAAAGTGACTATCATCAATAAGCTCATTTTGTGATTTTTAAAAAATGGAATTTTGATGGAATTTTGGAAAAACGACTAAGAAATCTATCCTGCCCGGCAATAGCTATAGAGGGACAAAATAGTGTACCAATGTGTTTGTAGGCCTCATTCGTTTTACCAAAAGCATATTGCTTCCCATTTATTTTCATTTTTCGCATTTATTCAGATTTTCTCCGTAATTTCGCATTTATTCGCACTTATTTCATAAATACGAAAATTACATATCCTTAGTTATAACTAGTGACGAAACATGGGTATATAGCTATGACGTCGAAACAAAGGCTCAATCGTCTCACTTGAAGTTTTCTGAAGAGCCAAGACTGAAAAAGGCACGTCAAGTCCAGTCAAGTGTAATAGCCCGGGAGCCAGCAACCGTTTCGAGTTGGTCATTTGGCAAAGGCTGAAAATTTTTCCTACACTTCATTTGGTATCACTAGCAAGTGAATCGACCTCCATCTCGTGCAGTTCCAGGGGGGTGTGGTTGCAGCAGCCTCCCATACACGTAAAATAATAAAATAAAAAAACTAATACCGCAAAAGATGAGGCTTTGTCGACAAGTTAATTATGTTATAAACAAAGTAAAAAGCCGCAATCAGCTGACCTCGCAGCTCGCAGCTGACTTTAGAGTGGAGGGTGAGGCATAACCCTCCACTCTAAAGCTTTTCACCTAAACAAGTCAAAAATATACGCTAGGTAAACTGATACCTACCAAAAAAGCTGAAATTTGGTAAAGTAATAGTCATCTTAATCAGTTATACGAAAAAAATTGTCCACTGAACTTTTTGCGATGTATAAGTGCTCAGCTGACGAGTTGAAAGTGCAGCACATCACCATGCGCATGGGCGCATTGCATCTTTAACTGTATCAGCTGAGCACTTTTCAATCACTAAATATAGAGATGGGAAAATTCCCAAACTATGAAAATTCCTGGAGTTTCCATTGAAAATTCCGGAAATTTTCCGAAAATTTCAAAAATTTTTTTTGGATTTGGTATTGTGTTCTACATACCATCAGCTTTCCAAAAAGACCAAATACTTATATAAATTTTTATTTATATTGGTATAAATATTGGAAAAATATAAATTATGTATTAATCATCCGTTAGAAAAAATTACATGCTGAGGGTTACAGTGCGTAAACACTATACAGTATTCAATATTTATCTTTATTAACAAACAAATAGTAAATAAATTAAATAATTATACTAGTTTTAAAATATAATTGTACTTTGGTTCAACTATCAAAATTCATATTAAATTTGAAAAGGAGGCAATTTATGAGTCTTGTATTGCTCTGTTATGTAGATTGTAGACTTAACAAAGATTAAAATAAGTAAGTGTAAGTGTTTTCTAACTTATTTGGATAATATGGTCTTCTGGTATTCCGAATTAACCGAAAATCCGAAATTAACGATTCCGAATTAACCAACGATTTTTTGTATATGTTCATAGAAGTTAGAAGTAAAATTGGCTCCAAGTTTACAAATTGTTAGAAATATTCCCAGAAAATTTCCAATGGAAATTTTTTCAGAAACTTTCCAGGGAAAATTTCTCAAGCTTCGATTATTTCTTCTCGGAAAATTTCCGTTTTGGAAACTTTCCGGGACGGAAAATTTCCCATTGCCCATCTCTAACTAAATATAAAGCTGAGCATTTTTTTCATTTAACTTATACCAAATTTCAGCTTTTGCGGTAGGATATCTATCATTTTTTCATTTTTCAAGTCTTACTAGTAATTATATAAAAATATACAACTTTTTTCTAATATTTATTTACAATAAATGATTTCACGAGTTTTTCAGTTTAAAGAGTTTTAATAAATAAATATTCACATTTAAATACTTATGTATACATAACATAAAATTGAACTGCATCAACATTTGCTGCGGACAACATACATTGCAAATATTTGGGCACATGTCCATCTTCAGATCCCAACAGAATTATATCCGACTGATTTCGGCTGGGAAGAGAAGGGTGACAAATTTATTTTCAAATGGCTGCCCTCTTCCCTTGGAGATATAATTATTGAGGATGAGCAAAAAAATAGTGCAGGTTAGAATAATACTAATATATTTCGTTCTATAGGTACTAAAATTTCATTATCTAAGTGTAATTTTTTTTATTATTTCATTTACATTTGTAAAATACAATTATTATAATTATAATAATAATTATTATTTTTATTATTATTATACAAGGTGTTTGTAAATAAGTGCGAAATATTTTAGGGGGTGGTTGCCGAAGTTATTTTGCGAAAAAAAGTTCATATAAATGTAGTTCCAAATATGCTTTGTTTCCGAGATACAGTGTTTAAATTTAAATTATTTATTTATTTTTATTAATTATTTCAAATACTTTTAAAGATATTGACTCGAAATTTGTAAAACACTTTAGAGGGGTAAATGTATATTTTTGGGGTGATCCGAATATCTACTTGCACCGGTGGTGTTCGTGTGAGAATGCCAACATTTTTTAATAAACAAAAATGATACGCCATTGACTTTTTCCTATTTTGATATTTTATCAG